TCAAGTTTAGAATAGACACACAGTGAACAAAATGTTAGCTTCATTCTCATACAGAGAAGAGGCTTGCAAGCGTTGTAGAAATCTATATTTATATAGCTATTTCCTGAAAACCGCAAACTATAGGCACACATTGATTTTGCTAGGCCATAGAAGACGTTTTTCGAACCTGCATCTGATATCGTAAAAAAATTAATGCGAGCTACAAAACAGTTTAAAGCCGTATTGGTGACTTATGTTGAATATTTAAATGCCTTTTATTTCAATTTCCAGCTGAGGTTTGATGATATTCTGAATATGTTAATTGGTAATACCTCTAAAGATATTCAATCCACATGATGATGGCATATAAAAGGCAGATGTAACATTACAAGAGAAACTGACCCACAACAAATCCATAACAAATCCGCAGTTACTCTTACTCAGTCTCATTGAACTCGACGAGATATCGCGGTGATATTGCGAAACCATTGTTCGAAATGTATATAGCCACAATGCTGAAAATGAAAGCTTAAAGTTGTATATAAAAAAAATGGATAACAGTTCTTCTTGCTACAGAAAAGATAATACCTGATACTAATAAATATCAACATAAAGTTTCTAAGTGTTATTCTATCTTCATATCTAGTGAAAAAAAAAGGTTTCAGCAAGGTTACTAATCTTCTAATGATAATTTTTAAAAAGCTGGACATCACTAACCAAGTTTTAAATATTTAACCTAGCTAAATTGAAGCCCAATTTCTGAAATTTTCTTATCAAAGCAGCCCACTAAAATATATTTTTGTTTGGTACTATTCAATTTTTTTTTGGCTTCATTTTGAATTTCAAATTTTCTTAATAAATATGCCAGACTTAGAAATCAGTTTGAGAAAAAAACATGAAAACATTTGATGAATTTTGAAAATTGAAAAAGCAGGGAGTCTACTAAAAAACTGGAAAATATTGTACGAGACAAAAAAGTTTGGGAACCACTAAATCTAGATCTTCACCTTCACCTATCCCTTAGGTTTAGTATGTTGCACCGTTCTGACACCACATATGCTTATAAAAATGTTTTGTTGCCTACATATATATAATCTAACGCATTTTTCGAAATAATGTAATACCTACATCCGTATGCACTTATTCATATAGGCTTCATCCCTAACTAAACACACTAAGCGATTAATAAGCAACATTAGGCCTATATTTATTATATAGAAATATAGTTCACTTTGGTGTGTATATATTCAAATGAATCTCTAAAGAGCAAATTACAAAGCTTCCAGTCTTATAGATGAAATGTCCAGTCACATAAGAATTTTTATTGGTATGGTTGAGTTATTGCATTATCTTGTAATCTTCACAATTCACAATTTTTATTATCTTGAGCGGTGTAACAAAGTGACAAAAAATTATTAGAGTCAATATGCATCAGAATAGAAAAAGAAGGAGGAGCAGAACAAACAAGTGAAGAAAACAAATAGTGCTGGAATCCTTTGCCAAAGAAATGCAGTGAAATTATAGATCTGTGTCCCCGCAAGTACAAGATATTCAACAACCGTTGTTAAATCTCATGCTTACAGAGTCTATGAATGAAGAAAACAGCACAAATTCATTTATTCCTGGAGATCAAGCCATGTTATCCAACGAAGAAACACTAATGTCAAGACAACGAAGATGTAGACTTAAACCGAAATACAAAGAGACTTTGCTAAATATGAAACAATCTTGACAGTATTTGTTTTCCACTAGGATATTCAATTACCTTTAAACAAATCAAGGTGATGCTCTGAGAGCATATAACATTCAGTGGCGTAGCTAAGAGGGAGATGAGGGGGGGAAGAATTTGAAGATCCCCCCCGGGCTTTCTGCTATGTTTGTCCTAGACGAACTCTCACTTTCTCTCCGAAAGAGTAATCTTTAGGTAGCCTTGCTTTTGCATCGTATTTCACTTTGCTTTTCATCTGTCGTTCGTTGAGTAATGTCTCTGCATTTTCAGCTACCGATGGTTTCAATAGTTTGGGATCAGTTGGAATGATCTCCATATATCTTCTACTCATTAGCAGTTGTGATGGTGAATACGGCAGTCTGCTTATCGGAGTATTTCTATAATCGAGCATAGCGAGATATGGATCTTTCTCACTTTTGTATGCTTTGAATCCTTTTGCTTTTGCACAAACCATGAACAACCAACAATAACGTAATATCATATAATATTAGCACAGAATCTTCTTCATGCAGTGGAAAATTAAGAATTTTTTGCCTACCTGGAATTCTGGTCAAAGCTCCTGCGCCCAATTAATATAGTTTAGAAGAAACTACAAAAGTCTGGACTGCACAACCTCTTTCAAGCAGTGATGGAATTTCTACGTGACATTCCCTACAGTTTAACTTTGTGAAAGTTTGTGTGTGTGTGTATAAATCTGAAAAGTGTCTGTGCCTGTTTTCAATTTCAAAGTACACTTTTGGAATATAAATAAATGATATATTTTATTCATTTTAGCTAATTATAATTTTTGCTTAATGTTTGCATATTTCATTCATTGGCCTCCTTCAGTTGTAGAACGACTATGGTTCATCTCAGAGCACACTTCCTCATGTGGCTGTGGAGCCCTATTTTGGAGAGACACTCCCGTCCACAGATAACGCAGGTTAAGGTGGCTTTTGCTTCGGTGATAGAGGAGCTGGCCGTTTTTCGGATTGTACGTTTTTCTTCCTGAGCTGAGACCCATGTACTTTCACTGTCCATAGCTTTCTTGGTCACTGTCTCTCTCCATCTGTTGCGGTCTAGAGCTATGTCTTCCCAATAGTCAGTATTGATGTTCACTGATTTAAGGTCATCTATGTAACGGAGGTGGGGGCGACCAGTTTTTTGTGTGCCAGTCGCGAGTAGTCCATAGAGGATGACTTTCGGGATGCGCTTGTCCTCCATCCTGCGAACATGTCCAAGCCCGCGCAAACGGCGTTGTCTGAGGGCTGTAAAGATGCTGGGAATACCTGATCGCGCAAGGATCTCAGTATTGCACACTTTTTCTTTCCATGTGACTTTCAAGATCCTACGGAGACATCGCAAATGGAATGAGTTCAGTTTTCTCTCTTGCTTTGCGTAGGTGGTCCATGATTCACTGCCATACAGCAGTGTACTCATAACGCATGCCTTGTAGTATATGCCTTGCATATTTATGATTTAAGATATCCTGCAAATAACTGAAAAATAATAACATTAAAACAAAACAAAAAATGGCTCTATTCATATTTTACGATATCTAAAGTATTTCTTTCAAAATGACTGAAATATATTTTTTTTCTGCGCTATTTTGTCGACGCTATTTTGTTCGCGCTATTTTATTTTGTCGGCGCTATTTTGTCCGCGCTATCTTGTCGGGGTACCCTGTATCCTTGTTGGCAAAGCTCAGATGTTTGAAATCAAATTGACGTTACAATTATTTCCTTTTCGGCTTATAAAACTTCCTTACAAATGATGCACTGGGATTTTGAAGTCTGTTTATACTATTGAAGTAGAACCATACCGTTAAAAAAATATTTCTTTTCTTCACGTTCTTTTGTTCGAGTTCCATTTTCATGATTTGTTCCATAATGAAAGTATTAGATTCAATGACATGGACTATTAACATTTAAAAATAGGGGTATTACTAATTATAAACCAAATAACTATAATTAGGTCATATATATGATTCTGTAATGGCATAACTTTACGATATACATTAATTTACATTAATTTAAACTGTTTAAATTATTTAATAAAAATGTTTGAAATCATTCTGATTCAGTCGTCTGCAACCTCTATCATCGAATGACAATCACAAAAATGTAACTTGCAATAGAAAAACTGTATGCAATGTCGAGTTGTATATGTTAGACTAAAAATTCCAAAATTCCGATGGCCTTAGGCCTTAATAGAATAAATGAGAATTTACATCCCAATTATAAAACAAAAAAAAAGGACGCTTATTATAAGCTATCTCGATATGACCAACGCGTAATCTTATAACTCAGAACCGGACACAACAGAATGAGACAACATATGTTCCGGAAGCTAAAAGTTGGGACTAGCGAAACCTGCCCTTGTGGAGCATCACCAGAAAATGCCGAGAATGTCCTTCTGCATACTATATCAAGAGGCCTGAACATGCCTCTGGCCCCAAAACCCTCCTATAGAAAAAAAATCGGAGAGATGCCTGATCTGGAAACCAGTGCGCGTTTCATCTCAGATATAGGATTAGGGATCTGAACCCTCCGACATGTAGAATGAGATCGAAGAAGAAAATTGCTTTACGCTCTGCTCCATGGCTAATAGTTAAACGTGTAGAACTTAAAATAACACTTTTAACTTTAATATATCACTAAAGAACACTGAACTCAATAAGCGAAGCTAACACTAGACGCTGGATACATCAGACTCTTTAATAACATGCTCTCACATTACAAAGGTTACACACAACAATGCAATATGAACTCTCTTGCTAAGGGGAATAACTCTACTTATAAGTAACACACATACACATAATCACAATGTCAACAATTCAATTCCCCAAGGGGGTCGCGACCCACATGTTGAGAATCACTGATCTATGTCGTCCGCAAAGCGCAAGTTAGTAATTCTTCTTCCTCCAATGCTTACATCACCCTCACAGCCCTCGAAAGTATATTTCATTATCCTTTCAAGGAAGACATTGGAAAGAGTTATTGAAAGTTAAAAAAAATATTAACATACCATATATATTGATACCTTCAGTGAAGTAACATACCATATATATTGATACCTTCAGTGAATTAACATACCATATATATTAATACCTTCAGTGAATTAACATACCATATATATTGATACCTTCAGTGAAGTAACATACCATATATATTGATACCTTCAGTGAAGTAACATACCATATATATTGATACCTTCAGTGAAGTAACATACCATATATATTGATAGCTTCAGTGAAGTAACATACCATATATATTGATAGCTTCAGTGAAGTAACATACCATATATATTGATAGCTTCAGTGATGTAACATGCCATATATATTGATACCTTCAGTGAAGTAACATACCATATATATTGATACCTTCAGTGCTTTTTTTGTAAAAAAAAATTGGTGCCAGTACTCAGTGATTAGGTGCCGGTACTCAGTAGTTGATTGCCTAACTTTTAACTACTAAAAATTAATACTATACGTTAAAATACAAGAAAAGTAATATTTTTTTCAAAAAGGTGCTGGTACGCCGTACAGATGCGTACCGTCACAAAATAAGTCCTGGATGCCTTTAAAAACAAACAGTTCAATGATAGCAGGACTTTTACAAAGTTATATTGAGAATCACACCACTATAAATGTATTTTAGATATATTTCCATATTTAAATTTTCAATATGGAGTACATTCATGACTTAATCGTGTGAATTTATTAAAATGTTCCACTTGAAATAAGCAAAAAAAAAATGATGAAGAAAACCTTTTTAAAACAAATTTGACATTCAGAATTATTTTAAATTGTATTTCAATATCCAGTCTGCAAGACCAGTGGGAAGGTAAGATAGTGGGATATAAAGAAACTTGCTATCATTTCCTGGCGTGTATCTTGTCCTTGGGAAACGAGAGGTCAATCCATGAATATAGGCATCCACCACAAGGTCAAGGTTGGATGAAGGTGGAACTACGTCTAATAGTATTCGGCTCATAACTTGTATGAAACAAACAAAGAAAATACTAGTTAGTAACATTCTAAGAAGATTCAGTAACAAGCAAAATATAAAACAAATATTTAAAAAAAAAAAAGCAAAGATTATCTAAGGGGAAGAACTCCACACGTATAACTATATCTCTCAATAATGTAGAAGTTGTTTCCATTTTCGCGCTCAAACAAAATAATTAATTACCAATAATTAACTGATTATTTAAAAAAAATGGATTCATCTTTGGTAGGTACAATAAATTATTGTTTAAAGTTTAATTAAACTTGATCCAAAAATGGGTGTGGGAGAAATAAAGCGTACAATTATCTAAGGGGACAAATCCATACATATTTTGTCATATCTGTGAATACCCAAGTATTAATTTCCCTTGTTCTTATCAAACAAAATAATTGATTACCAGTGATTCAGTGATTAATTGTTTTTTTAAATAGATTTACGTTCTGTCTATTCCAAAGAATAATTGTGTGGCAAAGTTTCAACTTGATCCGATAGCCGGTCTGGAAGAAATAACGTATATAAACTTTTTACCAGACAGACAAACAGACAGACAGAGTGAGTCGATATACCCTGAAAACAATGAATTTGCAAGTGATGAGAACACATCTGAAAAAAAAAAATCAAATTTTCTCAGGCCTCGTTTTGAACACATTTCAGTCCGACAGTCTGGAAAGAAGCTAATGTCACTTCCTCTATATAAAAAAGAAAAACAAAATTCTGATCCGGGAAACTACAGACCAGTATAACTAGCAAGTAGGGCCGGCCTTACACATTGGGAGCCCAATTTAATGGACAGTTTCGAGGTGCCTCTTTTGATTTTTTTTTTACAATAATTACTATTACTACTAATTAGATCAGTCTAATGCAAAATGCATAGGAAGGAACTCAAATGTAATAGCGCCAGTGGATTAATTAAAGTTACGTCGATTATATGATACACTAAATATGTTAACCCCTTAAGTCCTACACCTTTAAAATGGAAATTGCGAGGCCCTTGCCAGGCGCGGGCCCAGTTTGGAGCAATCGATAAAATCGGCATAAGACCGGCCCCACTTACCAGCATGACATGTAAAATACTAGAATGCATAATATTTAGCGGCATCATCTTAAATCATCTTAAATCACTTAGATGTCCTCATTCTTTACCAACACGGCTTTTAGAAATATAGGTTATGTGAAACTGAACTGATAGGACTAATTGACAATTTACAAAGGGATTAGGTGATAATGAGCGAACAGACACCATTTTATTTGACTTATTTAAGGCTTTTAAAAAAAGTTCACCGCTATAGCTTATCATGGAATTCCCATATTGATGAAGTTTAAAAATCAAACAAAGCATCGGCGTTTATTAAAAGAAATTGTTACAAATCAAACAGGAACACAAACTAAAAGGCTATTTAAGCAGAGTTAGGCCAATTCGTCAATATTAGAATATCTATCCTTTGTTTGGGACCCCTGTACTCAAGAAAACACAAAGAAACTAGAACGAATGGAACATGGAGCAGGAAGATTTATAGTAAAAGAATATTCACATTTTATTAGAGTAACACCATTAGTAAAATCACTAAATTTAGAGACACTTCATTACAGAAGAATAAAACTTAGCACTAATACATAGAACAATGTATTCATGTACCATAAAATTTCTTTTTCCTTATGCTAGGACACATTCTTACAAGTGCTCCTTCTTACCTAGTACCATTAGAGCATGGAATGGGTAGCCTGAATACTTATATAATAATACAGACGTTACTTCAAAAAAGAAGATGATTACGTCCTACGCGTCATGCATTTAGTCATGCATATTAACCAATGACTTAAATTCTGCCAAGTCACTGGTTTTTCTGGCTAACTCAGGCAACCCATTCCATGCTCTAATAGCACTAGGGAAAAAGAAGTATTTGTACAAATTTGTCCTAGCATAGGGGACGAGGAATGTGCCTTTATTTTTGTGTCTTTCAGAGTATTTTTATTAAGTTTTGTTTTTGTATTTGAAGATTATGGTTCAGTGTTTTATGTATAATTGCTACTTTACTTTTGAGTCTTCTGTCCTGAAGGCTTTCTAAATTTAGTGATTTTACTAATGGTGTTACTCTAGTCAAATGTGAATATTCGTTTGTTATGAATCTCACTGCTCTATTTTGTGTTTGTTCCAGTTTCTTAATGTTTTCTTGAGTTGAGGGGTCCCAAACGGTGGATGCATATTCTATTATTGGCCTAACCAAGGTTAAATAACATTTTAGTTTTATGTTCTTATTTGATTTATACTCAGTGAATACACTAGGAAAGTCAACGACTTGGCAGATTTTAAGCCACCGATTAACATGCATAGGGGGCACGGTGGCTGAGTGGTTAAGCCCTTGGCTTCTAATCCTGGGGTCCTGGTTTCGAATCTTGGTGAAGACTGTGATTTTGAATTTCGGTATTTTTAGGGCGCCCTTGAGCCGTGGACCGTGGACCACAGAAACAGATGACCTTAACATCATTTGAACTTTACTATTAACATGCATGACTAGATTGACACATAAGTACGTAGTAAGTACGTAAATATCTTCTCCTTTGAAGTAACACATGTAATCTCTAAGATAAGACGCTGTTTAAGTATATTTAAAATAAAATAACACGTTTTCTTAAAGTAAAATACACTATTGGTTTTGTACTGTGAAAAGTTAAGAAAGTAAAATACACTATTGGTTTTGTACTGTGAAAAGTTAAGAAAACAATTTTTACATGTTTGTTTTTTTAAACCTACATTTAAAATTGCAACAATTAATGAGATTTAATAGAAATGTGGTACCAGGAGAACAAACAGTTAAGTCACGTGACTAGAAAACTATTAAAGCGATCATAGCCAATAACTTTCATCTACAGTCGTCCATACTTACAATTTTCCACAAAAACCTTGTAGACTGACTGTATGTCTTCAGGAATACGTGCAAAAGCCTTGTGTACACTTTCTAGCATTTGTTTCCTTGTAATGATCGATGTTGTGAATGCTCCTGGCTCCACTATGCTGACTTTGATGCCAGTTGTATACATCTCTCTTCTATTAAAAAAATAATTAAATAATAGATATATATATATAGCATTCTTTAGTTATAAAGATCAGGTAAACTAAGGTGAGTTGCAATTGTAAAACTTTTTTGATTGAGTTACCTAAGTATATCAGAGTAAGCCTCAACTCCATACTTTGACAGTGCATATACAGGTGCCATACAGGCCAAGCGTCCAGCCCAACTTGTTGTATTGATGATACGGCCTTGGCCTTTTCGTATCAGAGGCAGAAATGATCGCGTCATCTCTATGAGACCAAACAAATTCACATCCATGCTTTTCTGATATTCGCTCTTGGTACAAAATTCTGTGGGCGCCATTGTGAACAATATACCTGCATTATTGACCAAACCCCAGAGACCTGAAAGAAACACAAATTTTTAAACTTCCTTTTATTATTTTAACGGATCTTACAACAATAGGAAATGGGATACAAGTATATGTTAAACAGGGTTACAAAAGACAGTTTGTGTGGAAACAAACTCAAACGGCCCCCGAAATGGTCCACCCATTCAGACTTCAATATTTTCAGAAAGAACATCCGAATGAAATTATATCAAAAACAAATGAGAGATAAGAATGGAGAAAGAAGGTTAACAGATCTTGTGTAGTGCCCCCAACGGTCCCGCAGATCAAAGGTTAGGTGAAAGTGAAATTAAAGTTAGATGTGAACCTTGCCTAACTAGTTCCCCTTTCAGACCTTGTGGTCTATAGGGCAGATGATGTAAAGTTCATCTGTTTTTGTGGCCTGCGGTTAACGAGGGTGTCATGTAGCCAGCACAACGACCAACCGCCTTTACTTTTCCCCAACTAGTGTCAGGTACCCATTAGAGCTGAGTGGACTCAGAGGCACCCAAAGATTCCAAAGTTGAAAATCCCAGTCTTCACCAGGATTTGAACCCGGGATCCCCGGTTCGGAAGCCAAGCGCTTTACCGCTCTAGCTACCGCGCCTCCCCTGGCATTTCTAGTTCCTTTAGAGCACAGTTCATGAAAATGAAGTTCGCAAGATTACTATTCGTTTTAAATTAGGTGTAACTTATAATGCTTACTAATTAGCTTTTTCTCTTTTAAAACTGCTTGCATAACTGATTTTAAAAATTAGATTTTTCGCTTTCAGAAAAAAAAAGTAGCCGTTGCATCAGAACTTTGAATGGTCTAAAATATTGTGATGTCGGATTTTCAATATCTTTTCTAGTTTACGAGATCTAAACGGGACAGACGGACAGACATTTCGCACAAACCTAAAAGCGTCTTTTCCCCTTTCGGGGGCCTCTAAAAATTGGATATAGATTACAAGCAATGTGTTAAAGAATTGGATATGATTATATTTACAAGCCGATACCAGTGCTGCGCTACGGTTTAAACCACCTAATATAGAGTATGCACAAACACTTCTTAGGTCCATCGGTTATAGCCATCTCGCCTCCTGTAATGCCACACAGACACACACACTACTTCTCACCATTTGGCCCTTGTATATTCAGCGAAACAGTCAGCATTACAATAACATTACAATAACGTTACATAACATCACATAATTTGGAACAGTTTGAAAGAAAAAAACATCACTATTAGCAACCTCGTCCATTCTGTACATACTATTTTTTTTATTTTGTCAGTCATAGATCTAGATCTAGAGACTTGCCGTATTTAGAAGAACCTTTCTCCACAAATCGTATAATTATACATCATCCTCCCTTCCCCACCAAAAAAGTAACAACACACACACACTCACACATATAATAGATCCTT